CGGCCTAAAGGGAACGGGGCTTCGATCCCCGTCCCCGCTCCGGGCTGTAGGTCCCGGGTGTGTGAAATGAATGGGGCTGAGGTGGAGCGGCCCTGCCGGGGCCCTTCCCTTGGCGGGTAGGGCCGAGCTTGCGGCCGGTGTAGGGGACGCCCGAAAGGGGGGTGTTGAGCGTTGCTCGGTGGCTTGAATGGCACTGACGTCCACCAGACGGTCATGGCGAGAACCACGAAAAATTCCCGGTAAGTAAGACATTCTCCCGCCCATAACGTGCAGACGTGCGAGTGATGTATTAATCTGTTTAGAAGCTTTCGCCTCTCGACATCAAACACGAATAACGGTGAAAAGGCACCTCTTTGAAGCACGTGCAAGCGCAGCAGCCCTGTTTGGAAAAGTTCCCTGCCGCCGTCCTCAGGCCCGTGCAGGGGGAGTGGGCGACGACGGTGCGGGCAGACGCGGGCATTAACCCTGCCCTCGGCCGCACTGCCCCGTAGGAGGTGAGCTGCTGTGGGAAGGGGAGAGGAGCCGAGCGGCTGGATTCCTTCTCTGAGTGTGGCTTGCCTGGCCTCCTGTGTATCCTGAGCAGAAACCTGCACTCCGAAGTGCCCTGACGCTACAGGAGTGCTCGTGCCATGCTGGGGAGTCCTAATTAGCTGGCTTCATTGTAATTCTATTGAGGCTGCTTCAGTGACCCAAAACCAGCATATGCTGTTCATAACAGAGCTCCAGTCGACACGAATGTTCTCTAGCAATGCAAACGAAAGAGGAGCCGAACTTCGCAGTGTGTGCAGCGTGACGCTTTTAAGAGTGAAATCTGGCTGGTGAGGAAGAGGTGCGCTGCCCCTGAAGGCGATTGCAGCGTTACCTACTGACAGTCTGGATTTCCACGTGTTTGGCTTAAATGACTGAAGGTGGTAGCGCTTTTCCGAGGTTTTTGTTTGTCAGAAAGGTTGATCTGTCACAGGGACTGAGGAAAGCCTTACCACTTGGTGGAACAGCCGATATGACCGTTGCTTTTTGCCCCCTTGTCCCCAGTGAGGCATTTACTTGCGCAGCCGTTCTGAAACTCTGAATTGTGGGGCTGCTTCATCTTAAGGTGACTGAAAGTGAGAAGGACGTAATGAAGTTGGAGTTTTTCATTTAATGTCTGTAGAATACATCATCTTGAAACTATAGTGCTACTACATCCCACTTAAAATCGTCTGTCTTTATAGTCTGAAACTAGGGGGTTTTAATTTAAAAAAAAACAGCCTTTCCGGGGCGTATAAATGAAAGCAAAACTAATTATGTAAAACAGATTTCTTACGGCTGTCTGGGGGTGAAAATCTTGTTCAGCAGACGACTTTTGTGGTGTCCTCAAACTGTAGGAATTGTCAGGATACTTTCCAGGAAACAAAGACGGGCTTCCAATAGGCGCAGTCAGCGGAGTGGACAAGGAAGCACGAGGACAGGTTTGGAAACTTCTTGAATTGCACCAAGCCACCAGCAGTGAGACTTGAGATTCAGCTCATGAGTACAGTGTGTAAGAAGCTGCTTCTGTACGTGTGGTTAAGCAGGAGACCGGGGCATCCGCACCAGAGCTGAGGCTCCTGGCATTGTGGGCAGCCCACCGCAGAGCCCACGCGAGTTACAGAGCAGTGAGGTCTCTTGGGTGAAGCTGAGCCTACACGTCACCCATCAGCGGGAAACTGCTGCTGTGAAGCTTCTAGAACCTGTTCTACAACACTGTTGTCACGGTTATCTTCTGAATGTGATGACTAGAAGAGACAGTCAAATGCAGATGCGTGGTGGCCGTGTCTGTTTAGGAAGTCACCAAAACACGTGGGTGGCAGCGAACGTAGATTTGACAGAAGAAATCCTTGCCGAATGTGGAACACGGGTGACTTGTTCCCTGGGCTGTACGCTGCTCCAAGTCTGCTGTGGTTTATTGCTACGTGGGATATAGCGTGTTTAACTTACCTGTTTCAAAGAAATTCGAATCCCGTTAGGACGTGGGGACGATACGTAACCAAAGCACGTGCTCGGGTTGACGCTGTTGGCATAAGGCTGGGGTCCCCTGGGATTAGTTTGGTTGAGCAAGAAGGAGGAAACGTTAGGCGCTCTGTGTAACAAGTGACTCTGCTTACAAGTCCTGGCAGTGTTTCTCAGTGCCTGTAAGAAAATAGAAAATTTTCTGTGGGTGTAGGGGAACCATTTCTCTGAAGTGCTCGGAGCACATGCACGCTTCGCCACTGGCTTCCGTGTGTGCAGTTGCCTCCTAGGAATCTCCGAGTAGGCAGGTCACGCAAATTAGCTGCAGCTTCCGTCTCACCCGTAACTTTGGTTAGCAGTTCCAACCTATCCTGCGTTACTGGTTTGAATGGTAAGTCCTGACTAAAGCACTTCATGGATGGCCGAAGGAAGGTTTCCCTCCTCTGGGAGGAGGAGAGATTTGAAAAACGGATAAAAAGAATGAGAGGCAACTCCAGCATAGCTCTAGTTACAGTAGGTATGTTCAGGGTGGTAAGTATTAAATATGTGGGGAGGCAGCGTGTTTAGTGTTAGAAACATGAATTATGTTGTAGTAAATTTTCTTTGGTCTCTTTCGTTCCTCTCTCTAGCTCGGATGCATGCGAGGTTTCCTTCAGCTCTAGGACAGTTCAGTGAGATATTTGGAAGTGCTGCGAACAGGCTATTAGTGCCTCAAAACCCCTGATCTTGGCAAAGATACTGAGGTCATGGCCAAACCAAAGCTACAAGACTGAAGAATGCGTGCAGCTCCCTGGGAAGGCTGGAGATATCTCCATTGACATTGAAAATGTTTGCGAAGTGTTAATGCTATTCAGCAGGAGCCCCTGCATCATCACGATCAGGGACACTGAGATTTCTGTTCTGATAACAGTGCGTTTGAGTGATGTACCAAGTTCCACGCAGTGGGACTTTGTCTTCCAGCGGTGTGAGAAATGGCTGCTGCGCAGTGCCCAAACGCAGAGGGAGCAGAGCAGGTCGTTTCTCATCCTCTCTTTTTCCTCTGAGAGTCTTTCGTTCCATGTTAGAAGAGGAGACTTGTGTCCAATAAGGAATTAAAAATACCATAGTAAGAAAATTGCTACTCTGCTATTGTTGTACTTCACCTGAATAAGTAGATGCCTTAGCGTTTCCTAAAAATGCTGCTGAAAGGGAAAGCCTTAGGTTTTCACCCAGTGGGACAGTATCTTGCTTGAAACTAAAGGTTGCATTCAGAAACCACTTGGTTTTTATGCTCTCAGAAGTCAAATGCTCTGTTACTGGCCTCTGATCAGATGTTTTCCGCACTTGTAGCGGGTGCTGATGCTGGAAGAGGCAGTCGTGGCCGCTTCTGCCGCTGTACCGGCCTTTCCTTGAGCTGGCATCAGTGTTTGGACAGCTGAATTGCAAAGAACTTGTAGCACTGACGGAGCTCAAAGGTGGCTGCTCTGGGTTTCAACTAGGCCTGGGCTGGGTCCTGATTGGGTTCATCCCGCAGATACGCGGACAGTTGTGCCGGGAGCAGGCTAGGAACAAGCCGCTGGGTGAGGGAGCGGGGTTTCTTTGGGGAGTGGTGCAGCATTCGGTAAGTAACTTCACTAAATGTGTCACAGTTACCAACAATTGAATTGGTTGATGATCAGGTGAGTCAAAATCTGTTCTGAAAGCTTAGCAATGGTCACATTAATAGATGGTTTGAAAAGTTAATTACTCTTTTGTCAGGTTATTGTGCTGTGATGCTTAGAGTGCAATACAGAGACCAAACATCCACTCCTTGGTGTGTGGAGTGGGAGCCACTCTGTCACGTACAGATGGGAACGTTGGCTTTCTTTGTGTCCTTGTGTGCTTTAGCTTCCTGTAGCCAGTGTAGCTGCAATAAATACCGGGGTAAGTGACCATTTGGCTCAGAGCATTTAACTCAGTTCAATTCGCAGGTAGGTCTTTGAGGTCTTCTCTGCAGGGGCATTAGCTATGAAATCCCAGCTTTGATCTGGCACCTCTGGAAGACAGCCGAAGTGCGCGAAGCACCCGTGGTCTTCTGTGCCTTAGCAACAGCAGCTCGTGCTGGGTGGCTGTTTGCCTTCTCCTGGAATGCAGACGCGCAGTTGTGGGCTTGGCCTGAGTTGCCAGGAGAATAACTGAAAGTGGTGGGGAGTCTGCGGCCGAGGCGTGCCGAGCTGAGGTCGCTTTCACCAGCCCATCGAGTATGGCCGCACTTGAGTGTTGCACGTGAGTTCTCGCTAGAACTGCAAATGCACAAGGGTTGGTCAAGAGTCCTGCAGCATTTTCTGGTGCCCTGGACAGGCTGTTGCTTGTTGTGGTGTTTGTGGAAAGCCAGAAGGATACCAAAGAGCGTGGGAGTTGAAGTCTGCGCATGTAGAAGGTTGTAGCAAGAAGTCAGAACAGTGATTCTTCAGCTCTCGTACCTGTACTGGCTTCAGCTGGGTCTTACTCTTAGCAGATTTGTTGAGCAGTCCATTTTTAATAGTATCTGTGTCCAAAAAGTGGGCTTTTCAGTGGCTGTGCTTTGGGATTTAACTCTTTGGGTGGCAAAAAGCATAATTAAGTCTGCCTAAGTAGCTGTTAGAAGTGACTGAAATTTTGCCACCATCTGTAGTAGCTCATCTTGAAAAGTTTGTCATAATCTTGGTTTGCTGCAACGCTTATTTTGGTCTCATAAGTTTTGATAGCTTCTTCAAGGAACATCAGCGTGAGCTTTTGGGGGGCATTATGCACTGAATGCATTGTATCTCTATTCTTCACACATTTTTTTTTCAGCCTTAAGCACCCTTTAAAGGTTATTAATAATAAGCTAGTAATGCAGCTTTTAAGAACAGGAAGAAGTAACTGCTCTAGTTGTGTATCAGGAGACACGTAAGGAAAGCCAATGTTAAGTTTACTGGCAGCATGGAAGGGTGAGTCTTTGCAATATGGATGAAAGATACAAAACTTGATTTGAACTTCTCTTAAATGGTCTGTTCACAGGCAGCCTGCTTCTGCGAAGTGGTACGACCGAAGGGACTATGTCTTTATTGAATTTTGCGTTGAAGACAGTAAAGATGTTAATGTAAATTTTGAAAAATCCAAACTTACATTCAGGTAAGTACCTTGGGTCTTCACAAGGCTGAAAGGCACGGGGGGGATACCTAAAGGCTGTGCTGGTACTGATTAGATGATGTTTCTCTTAAAGTAGTAAGTTCTGTTAATGAAGTGTGTTTGTTCTTTAAGACATTTCCTGCTAAACACAAGCATTTTTTTTCTCTTAACAGTTGTCTTGGAGGAAGTGATAACTTTAAACATTTAAATGAAATTGACCTTTTTAATAATATTGATCCAAATGTAAGTATTCTCTTGACTCTCTTACTGTGTTCTTAGTGCTGTATCCCGAAAAATACCGTCCATTCTTTAGGCTACTTCCAGTATTGTGGGCAAATTGTTCCTTAGACCGTAAGAGCATGCTTAAACTCAGATCTGTGAAAGCATTTCTGGACGGTATTTTTCAGGACAAAGAATAAGTTGATAGCTTAAGACAAATGAGTATAATATAAGCAGTTCCCGGCGAAGTTCGTGATGACTATACTAACAGATACTTGCTCTTTTCTTTCAGGAATCAAAGCATAAAAGAACAGACAGATCTATCTTGTGTTGTTTACGAAAAGGAGAATCTGGTCAGGCATGGCCAAGGTTAACAAAAGAGAGGGCAAAGGTGGGTTTGGGCTCCTTGATGGCCAGGGTAGTAGTGCCTGTTGCCTCCCCTGGTTTTTAATTTTGTTTAATATTTGGGTCATGTTTAAATTATGTAGCAGTTAATGGGTCACTTACCGTGCTTCTGATCAGAACGGCAGTTCTTATTAACCTTCCTTTTCTGAACAGTAACAGCTTGTTACTCGCTTGTCCTTAACTAACTTCTTGTGTTGATGTGCAGCTCAACTGGCTCAGTGTGGACTTCAACAACTGGAAAGACTGGGAAGATGACTCAGATGAAGACATGTCCAATTTTGATCGCTTTTCTGAGGTATGGGGAGATGAGTACCTGGAGGTTTGGGTTTCTGTCTGGGCCGTGTGTAGGCAAGCAGGGACTGACAGCTGTAGGGAGAGTCGTCTTCCTCGGCATTCCTCCTCCTGGTGCTTTCCTGGCCGCTGGTCCCGGTGCGGGCTCTGCTGGTTTGTGGAGGCACAGCTGTTGCCAGCTTTAACCCGCGCTGTGGGAGCGAGATGGCCAGTTTGTGCTTGCTATCAAATACGAAATGAATGTATGTCCTGTCGTAGAGGCCGGCACTAAGTCAGTGCACTGGTTGGTTTGCAAGGCAATTAACTTAAATTTTTTTGCATGCTCACCTTGTAATTCTGCATAGGTGCAGCTGATTTGTCAAAACAACTGATGGTTATAACAGTTTTAAGCTATTTTTAGGTTTTTACAGCGCTCCCCTAGTTCACGTAGAGAGCGCAGTTGGCTTCACCCTGTAACGTGGCTGTTATCTCTCTGGAACAGATGATGAACAACATGGGCGGAGATGACGACGTAGACTTGCCAGAAGTAGATGGGGCAGATGATGTAAGTACTTTGTCTGCAGGGCTGTCGCAGCGCCCTGCACATTCATTGCAGCTTGCTGAAGTCAAACTTGCATTCCCTCTTCAGCGCTGTTAAAAAGTTAAACTGTACCAAACCTTGTCTGGACAAATGATGTCATCTGGCAAAAGTCATCTTCCTCCCCTCCAGCAGCGGTGCTCAGGGCGGTGGTGTCGATGCTTGCGGTGCCCGGACAGCTTGGTGTCACCTACCTCCGCGGTGACTGCTGGTTATTACGGGTCTGCAGGCTCTGGCCAGTGAGGCCGAGCCAAGTCCTGTGGAACCTGGAGTTCCCCAAAATACGGACTCTGACGGAGAGCACGCTTGCCACTAGACTTTGGAAACAGCAGCTCGTTTGCTGGGTTAGTGGTGGTAGAGGGAAAAGTGCCTTCAAGCACAGTCTGCTCCAGTTAATGTTTCTTCTTCTTTCCAGGACTCACCAGACAGTGATGACGAAAGTAAGTTGACGTTCTCGTTTGTTTCCGCACACCGTGCGGCAGGGCGAGCGCTTGCTGAATGCTCCTGGGCGAGCGAGAGCCTTGAGCGGAGCCAGCAGATGTTCTGTCCTGTCAGTCTCGCTAAATCCTGGCTGCGAGCTAATGCCAGTGCCTTGCCTGAGCGGCGCGAGACGATACAATCTAGTGAAATCCTTTCCACACAAGCATGAAATACCAGTTTGACCTTCCCAGCCAGCTGTAGTCCTGGGGAGGCTTTGGCTTTAAGAGCAGCAGGCATGTGCACGGGCCGTCGGCGTGTGTGGTGCTGGCCCTACTCGAGTAACTTCTGTGCGCAGCCGCTGCTGCGCACGCAGGTCTTCCTTGTGAAGAACCAGCTCTGTGCTTCGGGGGTGAGGTCAGAGACCCTAAACTGCCCCGTGCCCTTCTTGGTTGAGGGCCAGATCTTCTTGCCTGTGTCCCTTGTGACACAGTGGGGCTGCTGGTAGCTTTTTTTTTTTTTAAGAGAAAACAACAAGACCCACCCAGTAATGCTGTTCTCTTTCTCTCTAGAAATGCCGGATCTGGAGTAAGGAAAACTGTCGTCTTCAGGGTTTGGGGAAAGAACTTCATCACAACATTTCATAATTGAGATAAGAATTCCTGAGTTGATAGCCCTAAAGGGAGATCCTGCATCCTTTAACCCATTTTCAGTCCATTTTAAATGGCTTCACTGATGGTAGGTGTGTACCGTTGCACGGGGCGGTCTTAAGCCACGAGAGGCAATAATGTTATGCATGAACCGTTTTCCAGACTTCCAAAAAAAAAACAAAACCCAATTGAGGTGTAGGCAATCGATACAGAACAGTTGCAATAAAGTTTACAGAGCCTCCTTGCCTCGTAGCAGATATAATTACAATGGGAGAATCCTGAATTTACACCAAGTGGTAAATGAGCATTTTTCCCCTCTGCGGCCTGAAATTGTACGTTTGTACCGGGAACAAAACTGGCTGAAACAAGGCTGTTGTCATTGGCTCACAAAATTCAGCAGGTGACGCGCAGTACCGCTGTGGTGTCTTCAGGTCTGTTCCGCTAAAGTTCGTATTGAAAAGGAAACAAATTTCTCCTCGTTTGGTGTTTCATCGCAAGTCCCGTGCCCCCGAGCCGGCACGGGTGGCTGGAGCCTCTCCCCCGGTACCGTTTGACCCTCAAGCTTTACATCTCCTCGCCCGGGGCGCAAGTGGCTGTGCGTTGTTGCTTGTCAATCTGTACATTTAGACCAAATCGTATTTGCACTGTGGGTATGGAAGTGAGTGACAGACCGTGGGGCGTACACGCGCGGGTGGCTTCTAACCAGGCTGAAAAACCTCAATTTATGTTCAGAGCAGCGGGGATTTTTTTAATGTCTACATTCTTTCTAATAAACTGTTGAAGACTCCCTGGCTCTCCTTCCGCCGGTGCCTTCGTCCACCCGCGGCG